AATCTCCATTATTTTGAATGATCCTAAGCATAAAAAGGAAGCGTACTTTTTGAAAAACATATTTATAATATTTCCAACCAAAGATGGCCCGAGCAAAAGAGAGATAAAGCAGTTTCTAGATTGCACAAATAAGCTAACAACATGTTTGTTTGTAAGGAGAAGCAGCGTTCAGTTTCCTTATATCTCAAACAAACGCCCAGAAAACTGCACGTCTGCTGAAACTCTCAGCTCTTTTAAATCGAGGCTGAAGACACGTTTGAATTATTTTTATTTGAACATATTTTCAGATTTAATCATTTCAGTGATTTTTAAATGTTCTATTTTAATGTTTCTTTTCTTTCCTCTGTCACGATGCTTTTTGATGTCTTGTGTGAAGCACTTTGAATCGCCTTGTTGTTGAAATGTGCGACATGAATAAACTTGCCTTGTGCCATCAACACGGTGTGCAGGAGCTTGTCTGCATTAATTGGTATTTCAAAAGAAGACATTGCACAATATTGGGTGCGATGACTTCGATTTCTGTTGCTGTGGAAACGAGAACATGTATCTAATGTGAGATTTTTACTTGTGTCATATCCACAACCCGATTAAAGAATATAGTTGGTATGGTGAAGGAAAAACTGTGAAGGAAAACGGGTCGACTTAAGAGGACTATGGATGCACAAACTGACACTGTACTCTGGCGTCATCGAGCTTGAGTGTGTTTCTCGATGGCTGACCATCCTCTTCATGCGTCGGGGTGTTACAGAACAACAATGTTTATGAGGAGAACTTTAATCTAAAACACATTTTCAAAGCCTGAATTGTAAATAGAGAAGCAGCGCCGACAGTTAAATCCATCCTCATCCTCATCGTCTGTCACTCCCTCTCCTTCCTCATTCAAGTTAAAACTCGTCTCACCTTCACCATCTTTATTTTCCTCCAGACGACAGCAAGCGGCCGCCTAAAGTCCCGACATTTGGCGACTTCCTCTCTCAGGGCAGGACCCCGGGGCCCCGAGGAGACCGAGGCAGAGGACGGGGCCGAGGACAGAAACCGAGCTACAGGTAAGTCTGAGCTCATATGCAGGATGATCCAAAGACATGACAGCAGGGGGGTTACTAATATTGTAAATCTTGTATGCTACACTATAATATATATATTCTGTCTTTTTTGAGGACATGCTGTCCCTTAGTGTCCTCTGTGGGAAATGCATTCATGTGTATTTGTGTTTGGACTTGGATACATCCTCTCATATGTTGTCCTCTGTTTTTAACATGACACGTCTTTTTTTGACAGCATGCATGACAACCGCTGGGAGGCAGAGAAAGAGGAGGAGGACAAGGTGAAGGAGGACAAGATAAAGAAAGAGGAGAGGCCCAAAAAGAAGGAGAAGGAGGAAGAAAAAGCCAAATCTCCAACCACAGAGAAGGTAGAGGAAGCATCTTCTTTCCTGCTTTTTGACCTGTGATGAAGAGTAATCAGACGCATGCTGAGCGTGTCATGTTTGACATTTCTTTATGGCGCCGGTCTGACTTTCACTGCCCAAAGTTTAACCATTCCATAATTAAATCCTCAGTTCTACAACTGAATATTATTTTCGACCTGCTGGTCTGCATTTTTCATTAACTGCGCCCACTGGAGTCGTTACTTTACATTTATATTGTAAAATCCTTTGACTAAATAGGACCCATGCAAGGAAGCTTTTGCATACTTATAAGCAGTTTTATAAATAAGTCCTTTAAAATGTCAAAATCTTAATAAATTAAACTGCCATATTATTAGTTAATACTGTTGCTACGAGCAGCAGGTTGCTCATTAGTTATGAACCCTCTGGAAAAGTTCAAATCCATGTCTGCAGTGTCCCTCAATTAATACAGTTTCAGTCATTTTCAGCTTGTTGTCGGGTTCTCTGTCCCACTTCTGCACAGTTTTGTTTCAGTCTGATAGTGAGGGGCTTTTAAGAGACAGTTCCTCAAACCTCTCTGTACTTGCTGAATGAACAGCAGTCAAATTAGCCGCTTTGTTGACATTACAAGTGATGAGTAGAGAAGAAATCCCTTCTTGCAGGTTTAAGATTACAAACACTTTCACTCCCAAAAATCACGGCCTTCTGTCTTTTCTCAGGTGGAGGAGAAGAAGAACGAGGAGGGAGAGGAAGATGAAGAGGAATGGGAGGACGCCAGCGATGGAGAAGACGACGATGAAGCGGCGGAGGACGAGAGCGACTCGGAGCACGACTCCAGAGGAGACGAGAAGAAAGACAAAGGCAAAGAGAAACCCTCCAGGAGCAGAGGCAGCAACCCGACATCACCCGCACATCGGTCCAGAACGACATCAGCAGGAAGCCCCAAAGAGCAGCGGACCCCCAGACCCAAGATCCACATCCCCCCTCCCTCCGCAGTGCAGGAGTCACCAGAGGGAGGGAAGCCCCTCAGCCCCTTCCTCCCTCTGGATAGCCACCAGCCTGTGTCAGACTGGGGGGAGGAAATGGAGATGCTGTCACCCCGGAGCAGCATGGGAGGCGAGAGCCCGCTGAAACCCCTCAGTGTGGAGTCCACCCCGCCCCAGAAGAAGGACCAGGAGGAGGAGGAGGAGGAGGAGGAGGGGGGGGAGGAGGAGAAGGAGAACCAAGCTGCCTGCTCTAATGAACCTGCTGAGCCACAAAGAGAGAAGGACACAGGTAGGATATTTAACTAGACTGTCACCTTTTTTTAAATGTCAAGGAATGGGACGACCCGGGCAGGGGCATGCATGGCCGAATGGCCTCTTTGAAATCTGATAGGCCACCCCAGGGCTAACCCAAAATCTGAAACTATGATTGGGTTTTTTGCCTCGTCATAGATGGGATTTATGATAAATATCCAATGGAGGGCAAGAAGGAAAAAGTTTGAGAATCTCTAATAAAGGCAAAAAAAAAACTATATTCAGATTTCAGCAGTTCATGTCTTTCCTCCTGAGAGAAAACAGAGCAGGTTAGCACACCTTCATACTGAATAACTTATGCTCATCCCTTATCAGATACAAAATGGAGAAATAAGAAAGGATGATAAAATCCGACTCCAGTGATAACTTCACTGTTTTTCCAGCTTTACTGCCAAGTCTCCTCGTTGTCTGTCGATCCACGTCCTCTGTCCTCCATCGCTCTGTTTGTTCTGATGTCTCTCCTGGATTTGTCTCGGTGTCGGGTTACAAAGTTCGTCACAGACAGGATATACATTTTGAAATAGAGCTCTCCTTTGTCTCTTTATTTCTTAAGTTCCCTCCTCACCCCTCCTCACTTCCTCCTCTCTACTCTCTTTATTGTCCTCTCCTCAGCCGAGGACGTCATCCCTCCTCCAGAAGCTCAGCAGACGGTGATCGTTTCAGAACCAGAGTCCGTCCCTGCCGACTCTTCCGCTGCGCCGCCGTCTGACCCCGCCCCCTCCTCCGAGGCCTCAGAGGCTGCTGTGATGAAGGACACACCTGATGCTCAATCACACGGTGATTAAAAAAAAACTGACAAACAAAAATAAATCACACCACAGAGTCTCTGCGGCCATGCTCGTGACTCTGTGACGCTCGACCTTGAACTGAATGTTAGCGTCTGTTTGGTGTCATTCTGATGTTCAGGCTGTCAATCAACATATTTTAAGTATAACGCATGACATTATGACATCACTTACCAAGAAAAAACAGAACAATTTATGGACTGATAACAAATTACAAGAAAAGTAAAGAGAGTACAGTTATTATCTTTAATCATAAATCTCTGCATGTTAATATGTTAATGTTTTTGTGCAAATTAAATGGTGTGCAGGTGTTTGCATATGATGACATCACAACTCTTGCACCTGTTTTATGAAATAGAAGTCGTTTATTTTAAAGCTTCTGTTCTTTTCTGTCCTGACGCTCTTTAAAAACACAGATTTTATTATTTTAAAAGACTTCTTTTTGAATATCAGTGTCAGACACAGTGATGTTTACACTCTGCTTTCTTTTCTGTCTCTTGACAGCAGACAAACCGGACACCCCTCCCCCCGCGGCCGTCCCGTCTGCTGATCCGATCTCCTCCGAGCAAGCGGGAGAGAAAGACGATGACGTCGCAGCGACCGCAGCGACCGCCGAGACCGCAGAGGCCGCAGAGGCCGCCGACGCCCCGTCAGCTGGAGATGGAGATGGAGATGGAGAGGCGGAGGCGGAGTCCTCGGAGCAGACGTCCTCAGGTGCGGTCCATATCAGCGACTTTGAGACGGTGGCTTACAGTAGGAAGTTGTCGGTGCACTGCTAACACCCTCGCTCGCTTCACTCTGCCTTTCTGTGTCGGGTGGTTCTGCTCGGTTCCCCGGCCGACAGATTCTTGCTCTTGTTTGATTTTCTCTCTTTTCTTTTTGATTATGAAATCATGTTGGGTGACATGACAGATTATGTACTCACACACAGACTCAGCCATTTCTCCTGTTTCTGGATCTGACACAAGCCTATCACACAAGTCTCCTCCTCCAATCAGGACCCCCCCCCCTGCTTGTTTGAACCCCCTCCTGGCTGTCTTCCTGCTCCCTCCTGTGATGGACTGAAAACACTAACTTTCCCCTCCTGTGATGATGTGTGTTGTAATTACTCCCTGTGTGGTGCACACTGCTCCTGTACTTCCTCCTGTTTTCATGATGTTCCCCCTTTTTTTTTTTTTTTCATCTTCTCTTGGCTGTGATGAAAATGTTTTGGCGCTGCATGGCACGCTTCCTGTATTTCCAAAACCTGGGTGTAAATGCCTCTTTTTCTTGCGCCTGATGTCGCCTCAGGTTTCAGAATCTAATGACAAATAAGTGTCTGCAGAGGAGAGAGAAAAAGTAACCACAGTAAGATGTGTTGTGTTGCATGTTTTCTTCACATTCATGGCAAAGTGGAACAGGAAGTCGTCCCATAAAACATCCTAAATGACTCTATTAGTTAAAGCTAAAGTGCTGCATCATCGCAACATACGATGTGAGTGTATCTGGCTCTCTGGCAACCGTCCCAGGTCTTGTTTCAGGACTCAAAGAGATAGCTGTTAATGTGTTAGCTGGCAGGAATCACCTTTCAGATCAGTCCTGAATCTGGACTGAAGATGGTGCACAGATTGAGAGGACAACGTGTTTCTGAGCCGAGCCAACGAGTTCTTTGAGATCTATTAACAGATCAGGGCCTGGGGGGGAGGGGGAGGGGGGGGGAATCAGGCCAGAGAGTGACGCGTGTTTGGTCCTACTTAAGTGATCAGGAGTGAAATTACCTTTTTTAAACTACAAACTCTGGAGAGAGTCATAACCTTTCAGCAAACGGTGTCCCGTCAGGAAGAGATATATAGATGACATTAAGCATGATAAACAACTTTTTGGACATAAACTTCAGAGACTAAGTGTCAGAGGTGAAGAGGAAAACACAAGATGTCACTGCAGGGACATAAAGACTCACATAAACTCACCCCTTTGAAAAAAGTTTTAAAAAATCGTAAAAATCAAGATTTTATTTTATCTTCTGAGATTTTAAATAGATTCATAACTTCCAAAAATTCAATTTGTTTTGGCTAATCAGCCACATCATGCTAAGTGCTAAGGCTAGCTCTTTAACTCAGCAGAATGCCAAATAGAACGCCCTTAGAGCTTCCTGTTCCTGTTTGCCATGAATGAAACCTCCAGCCTGCTTTCCTGTCCATCCACACTTTAATGGTGTTTGAGCTTGTTTCCTGTTTGTGTGTGTTTGAAGGAGGAGCGTTAACTTGGCTCCTGTTTGAACTCAGCTGCTCGTTTCATCTCCCTGATGAAGTTTTTAATGGATGTGAAGTTGTTGTTTTGTTCTGTAGAAAAAAGAGCACTTCCTGATAATGAAACCACATAATACGATTACTCTATGAATACTTGGATCCAAAGCACCTCGCGGTCGTGTAAATCATCAGTGTGCACATCGTCATCGTGTGGGGAAATAAAAGAACCACCGCTGTACCTGTGGTCAGAATCAGTGTTCTCTGGTCCCCTGCTTTGAGCTGAAAGCTGAACCGACGTGGCTCATGTTTGATTTGTGCAGACTGTGGTTTAAAAGTGAGCTAAGTGAATAAAACCACAGACGTGAGGAGGTCCAGTCGTCATTCATCTGCTCGTTCAGTCTGTGGCTAATGGAGAAGTTTTAGTCTGAAGGACGAATCATTTTAGATCCACTTGTTCCTCTGTAAGCAGTGAAGTTCTTTTAAATTTCCTGAAGTTAAGTAGCCTATATAAGATAAACATGAAACCACTTTTAGTGTAAGCAAAGATGCTACTGTTTTCTTTTTTGGTATAAAAGCCACTCAGATCACATTTACAGAAGATGACTCATTTGTGATAAACAGCAGACATCCAATGAGCTCATGTGGGCATTGTGTGTATGTGTGTGTGTGTGTGTTTATGCTGTTGATGAGTGTGTGTGTGTGTGTGTCGGTGTCGGGGTGGGGATCAGCAGACCAGGGAAATCAGAGACACAATTAAGTCTGTAAAAGGTTTTTCAGAGGAAATGAGCTGCAGCCTGACGGACAGATGATCCAGCCGACAGAACAGAGACGGCTTTGAGGTTTGATTGAATTACATCTTGTGATGGTTCTGAGACTCTGCAGGGAAGATTTCCTGACTGTGATCTGAAGACAATGCTTCACAATTTCAGAGAGAGAACGTTTAAAGGTCACATATTATATAAAATCCACTTCCTCATGTTTCTCTAACTCTAATATGTGTCTCTAGTCCGTCTACAAACCCCCCAATGATGAGAAAAGTCCGTCCTCTCCGTCTTCTGCCTGCTCCACTTTTCAGAAAATGTGTGCTCAAACAGGCTGTTTGGAGATTTTCCCTTCATGACATCACAAAGGGCAGTAGCCCCTCCCCCAGGTGGGTGACACTCCCACAGCTAGGTGTTTGTTCTGCCCTCTGAGTCTGCCTTCTCACCGTAAACAATAGGACATGGAGCAAGAAAGCACCGAGTACACCCAAGTCCTTCCAGAGAGGGGGCGTGGTCAGACACAGCTCATTTACATATTTAAAGGTACAGACACAGAAACAGCCTGTTCTGAGCAGGGCTGAAATAGAGGGGTTTATAGACATGATCAAATACAGGATCAGAGTGGATTTAGAACAAGAAACTTCACACGTGTTTTGAGGAGCTCTGAGACTTATTTAAACTGAAGAGGAGGAGGAGGAAGAGCCAACATCAGTTTGGAGAACCTAAAATCGGATGTATTCATTTGTTTAATCAACAGATTACATTTTAGATTTTTCAGGATATGTTGAGACGCATGAAACTACGAGAAGCAAAGAATTCATCACAGAAAACAATTGGGGGAAAAAATGCTACAACGGTCCGTGATAGTAGATTTCCTTTAGACAGTTATTATAGTTAAAGTGTAGAAGGACTGAGTGGTGTTGACTTATGTCAGACCTCAGAAGAGGTTTGTTGTGACTCAAAGATCAGAGAGATGTTCGTTTACATCCATTAGATTTACACTTTTGACAGCTGCATGATTGAGTATTGATTTTTAGTCACTTGTCATCTCTGCGTGCGATCGCGGCCGAGGAGCTGAATGTGCAGAGCGAGGAGCTTTAATGCTGCTACAGTCACACTGAGTGTCGTCATCGCCCCCCCCCCCCCACCCTTGCCAAAGAAATGTGCACACTTAGGCTACCGTGAAGTGCTTTGGATAAAAGCATTAAACACACACACACATGCACCACTTCCATGATGTGTTTGTATCTACAGGCTGAAGCTGCTGGGAAACTAAAGAGTTTCTTCTGAGGAGGGCGGAAAGATGAGATGGACGAAGAAGAGCATGATGACACGTCTCACCACTGGAGTGACCGTCACACATCAAACAAACCACGAGAGACAATGACAGGAGGAGGAGGAAGAGGAGGAGGAGAGACTGTGCATCACCATCACAGACCGCTCTCTCTCTCTCTGGGCAGTTTTTAAGTCTTGTGGACCAGAGGGGTCTGGCTCCGCCTCCATGTTTTGTCTCACTTTGTGGGGTTTTCAGGTGTGAAGGGTAAAGGTGTGTCACTGGTTTTCATTATGGAAACACTTAGAGTTACTATCTTTTTTTTAGTCTGATCATTTTATCCCGTGTTTAAAAATAAAAAATCATGCAGAGGAAAAATCGCTCAGACGCAGGCTTTTGTTTTTTAGTTTTCAGTTTTGATTTTGAAGTTTATGAATCGACCTCTCCGAGCCTCACAGGTGGAATCAGCAGGTGTTGTAGGCGATAACAATAAGAGGACATTGAGCACTCACAGGTCCTCGGCTGATCCGATCGATGACTAATTCAAGCAGGCGCCTACTGAGCGCGCTCTGTCCACAGTTAAAGAAGCAGGATGTGCACTCAGGCTTCATGAGGTCATTACATGTTTTTCATAACACCAAGCCCAGGCTGAGCATGTTGAGGGTCCCACATCTTTGTTTTCAGACCACTCAGCCGACTCAGGAAGGAAACAACTTTCTTTATTTTTCTGTAGAATTTGGCTTCATTATAATTCTTTAAAGAATCATGTAGGTTAGATCAGTCAGGGATGTAGTTTTGAAGACTTTAAATGGACACTAATATCCCAGGCGTTCTTCTTCCTTTGCATCTAGGCTACCCATGATGCAACTGGACCCCTGGTAGTTTGTTCCTAGAGATGAGTGTAGGATGCTCATAGCGGCTGATGTAGCCCCTCAGTTGAGATCTTCTTCTAAACTTCTAAACACAAACAGGTTTTTATCTTTTATTCAAACTCTTCGTCTTCTGCTCCGACCTATGATGACTCAAGTGACATCACACTACAGTCGAGGCATTTTCAGATTTGTAAAAGATTAGAAAAAAAAGCTCAAACTATATTGACACCTGTTTTGATACCACAGCTACAAAATAAACAAGCCCTAGGCACCAAACATGTTTTTAATCATCATAAATACCAGCTCACCGTCTAGATTGCATAAATCACTTTGACAACGCTTTGTGCAATTTGGACAGTGCTCTCTCTTCACCAACAGCAGCTTTTGGTTTAAAACGCTTTTTTTACTTTTAAAGGCTTTATCTGTGATTTTTCACTCTTAAATATAGAAATCAAGTATCTCCTCTGAAAGTAACTCTGTGAGTCATGACTGTCTACAATGGGTGTAACACCCGAGTCCCACTGTCTGTGATGTTTTCAGAGTTTTCAGAGTCCTATCTTCAGTTTGTTTACATCGCCCGGACAGCCGGCTGACTCCTCCCCTCGAGTATAAAAGTTGTTTAATTGAGGGACTAGAGAAAAGAAGAATAACATACTGTACTCACTGCTTAACTGTGTTTCTAGATCACGCTCATTTCAGCTAAATTTACATGCAGTGTGAAGATACGATCATAATAAAGATCGCTAGCATTAGCATGCTAACACAAACAATGCAGCGTGAGTTGTTTTGGTTTCATGCTGGTGCTCAAGGGCGACATCTGCTGGATCAAAAAAATCACATATAAAGCCTTTAAGCACTATTGATTCTCAAAATATCGGAGATTCAAATGTGATATCAAAAAGCATCTATGGATTAACATTTTTGACAACATTGTATCCCACAAGTACAAACATCAGACTTCACACAGCTTCTTAACGAGAAACAGATTAATGCATTTTTTTTACATATTCAATTCAACTTAAACACCTGGAGAAAGAAAGTTTAATGTAACAGCTGTCGGCTGATTGTCAACAGTTAGCCTGAGTTGAATTTAAAGATCAGTCTTCATTATCAAACTTAATTTTCCCGCCGATCAGTCCTGGATTCACCTTTGATTATTGCCTCCATGGTTTCCTCTTCAGTCTTCTTAAAGCAGGAGAATCACAGCTCTAGTTCAACTTCAAATCCTCTGTAGTGAGTGATTTTGATGGCCATCTTGTGACAGAATGATCTCAGCTCCATTAGTCCTCATAATGTGGAGAGGGGGACTCCACCCTCCACCCTCCACCCTCCAGCCTGCTCGCTCTTTGTTTTTAATTTGTGGCTTTTAATGACTACGTTTGCAGGATTTGACTTTAAATCAGTCTGGGCTCTTTTTTGTTTTTCATGATGAGTTTCCTCTGCATGTCAATCATGATGTTTTTAAATGTTTTTGCATCGGAGGTGGCGGTGCAGGCCTGCTGTGTGTGTGTGAGATGGAGAACCATCATGTGGGTTCAGCGTGCGAGTCAGAGTGAGCGACTGGCTGCTACATGAATCAGTCGACGACACACTTTCAGTCGCTGCGCTCGATGCTCTGACCTGGATTCTGTTCTCGGATCAGGTGTTTAAACTTTAGGGCAGGAAACCTCAACATCTCCTCATGTTTATGAAAAAAGAAAACGATCATGCAGTGGTTTTAATGATTCTGCGTCACAATCAGGAAACGTTTGATGTACTTTCTACTCGCTGTGAATCAACAAATCTTAAGAAATCTGTTGTTTCTCTTTCCTCCTTTAGACGACACACTGCCTCTTTAATGGAAGCTTTGTTTTTTACATTTCAGGGTCTTATTATTAAATCATGGATGATAAAGACTGACTCCAACAACGAGTGCTTCTTTTGTTCAATATTTTCCACAGTCATGCGTTGGGATCTCGTTTCTTATTTGTAAAATCAGACTTTCATGACATGGTCTGACATGAATTACTACTAAAAAATGAGGTTTTTTGTTTTGCATCTTCAGTTTATTCAGAGTGAAACGTTCCCCTCGTACCTCAGCAGACCCTGAGCTTCAGTCCGCTTAGTGTTTGAGTTTGTAATCGCTCTTTGAATCATGTTGGCTGAAGCTGCTTTTATGTGGCGTTTGAGGACCCCGGGGATAAATGGGATGCTTTAATGTTTTTGTGTTCTCTTAATCAGACAGATGTAAAATGATGCATTTGGATATGAAAGGAATGCAATATGTACAGCTTTTTAAATGCTAATAAACATTCCATAGTCGGGTGTTTGTGCAACATGTCGCCTGCGAGCTTCAAACAAAACATGTTTTCTTTTTCTTTCTTTTTTTGCATATGATTGTTTTATTTTTCAGAGCTTTTGATTGTATTTAAAACAACAGTAGAAATGTCCATCTGTTTCTAAAACTGTCTTCCTGTTTGATACATGAAATTTCTCTCAGATCTAAAACAGATTTGCCTTTTTTTTTGGAGCTGTTAACAGAAAGTCATCAGGACGAGCATGAATCTGAAATTGTAGCTTTTTTTTTTAATGTTCTCAAAGCCATCGATGAAATAAACGTCCCCCGCGGGGCTCACACATCAGAGAGACGCCGCCCTGATGTTTGTACAGCTGTCCAAAAATGTGTACACATGTAAAGCACACAGCAGTGTTTGTTTTTTCTCATTTAGACAATAAATCTTTTTTTTTCTCTGACGACTACAGTTGGATCTGTTTGATTTCTTTCTATGCTCAGTTTTAGGTTTTGTGTTCGATGAAAAGCTGCCCGGTTCTCATGATTACATCCACTGAAACGTGTGTTGCTCACACATCGTCTCCTCCATTCATCCACCTCAGACACATGATGTATGGCTGCTCAGGTTCAAATCATTCTGCCCCGTGCACACTCTGAATACCCAGAGTGCTGCTCTGTGGAGTTGGACTCTGGTCCTGTGCAGGGTTTTGACCTTGGCTGCTGCAGGAGGAAGAAAAGGCCTCCAGCTCTTCTTTTCATCCCCTGTGAACAGAACATAATGAGGGGGTCTGAAACCCCCCCCTCTGAAAGCTCAGCCTACATTTAATGGCTGCGGCCTGTGACTCATCGGTGTATGGGAGCTGTTTTATGGTGCTGATGTGTTTGATGGGCTCCAGTGAGCTGCTGCTGCACGCCGTGATGGTTTGTGTCTGAACACCGCAGCTCTCCTCTTCTGCTGCGGGACGTTTCTCTCAAACTAAGACCCAATCGTTGGGTGCTGCGTACTTTCAGCCCCTCCTCAACTGAAGCTGCAGAAAGTCGGAGACAATCACGGGGAACGGAGCCGGAAACACAATGAACTGCCCTTCAAAATAAGAGTATTCTCCTCAAAATGATGACCCACCAAATTAGAGTAAGCAGGACTGTGCACAGAGACAGATTGTTGTCGATGGGAACGTTAGTTAAATTCTCTCTCAGAACATTTCACTGACATCAGTTTTTTTTTTTATCAAGAAATGACTTTTTAAAAACTGCTTTAAATCTTAAAAGAGACGGGAACATGATGAGTGGAGGTTATGTAGCTGCTGCAGACGAGACTTGTGTTGCATCAACTTATTTCAGATCATTTCTATAAACTCATTCTGAGTGTTAAAAATGAAGCTTGGTAAATTATGGGTTAAGTTTTCCAGAATTGAAATGCTTCTTTAACTCTAGATTATTTTCTTAATAAATAATTTGTACAGTTTTAAAGATAAGTTAAAACACAACCTTTGCTATTATTTAAATAAGTGCATGACTTTATTATTGTCTATACGTTTAGCAATATTTAACTTGATCACCTCAGACTGAGTTCACACCAACATTACGTTTTTTGCTTGGGGTCCTAGACCAGTGAGGGGCCCCACATAGCTGCAGCCTCAAATGTGCCAATTTTGCAATGACGATATGAAACCCACCTGACAGCACTCATTCTTGTTGCCCTGCTGAACGTGGGTTGAACGGCCCCACCAATTGATTTTTGCCTATAGGGCCCCAACAGGCTCCAGAATCACCACTGGCTCTTTGACACAGACTTCATGTATTTGTTCCAGTCCTCATGTTGGTATTTTGTTGTGTGCAGCTGATAAGATAAAGCGTTATAAGTCATAAAAAAAAGCGTAAAAAATGCATTGATCAAATATGTAGTGCAGCTTTCTGTAAAATGTTTTAAACTTCAGAGTTGTGCTGCAATCAGGCACATGGCATCATCCAGTTTAGGAAAGCTCTTCTCACTCTTATTTGGTTTCATGTTTTTGTATTTGTTATCTTGTTATGATTATTTATTTACGTTAGAGCTTCTGCACATGCACCTTGCAAAGTTGCATTTAAGTTAGTTTAATTTTGAAAAGCCCCACCGGAAACCCCCTCTGTGACCGTGCCCAGCTTGTCAGTGGTCCCATCCAGCTGATGACAGACACAGCCTCCTTGAGTTCAGTTTGCCCGGTGCGCACTGAGGACTCGCAGGGGTCACACCACAGATCCTCGTCTTGCGGATAGAATCGTACCTGCGGGACCGGATCAGCTGCTCTGCCGGTCCGGACTGAATCCTGAGCACACACCGGAGCCAGGGGAGAAGAAGAAGAAGAAGAAGAAGAAGAAGGGGGGGGACAGCGGGGCTTTGCTGTCCGGACTCAGATGAACACAGAGGAGTGTGCGGAGGAGAAATCGTTGGAGGAGGAGGTGTCAGCGCTGACAGAGAGATGAAAGCGGCCGGGAGACAGGTGACGGTGACGGCGGAGAAGCTGAACGGGGGGGACATGAAGCGGAGGCCGAGCTACCCGGGAGAGCTGCGGGCCAAACACACCAACATGTCAAACAAGATTTGGGTGAAAGTGGCGATGGCGATCGTTTATTTCCTCTGCGTGTCCGTGGCCGCCTTCATCCTGGTCATTTATTACGTCTTCTTCTGGATCCCGGACCCGCACTTCAACCTCACCAGCACCGAGGCGCCCCCCCGCAACGAGTGCACGAGGTTTGGATGACTATGTAGCACGCACACACATCTGCACACATCTGTATGTAGGTGACAGTCTGCACACACCTGACAGGAGGCTGCAGCAGGGGATGGATGCGTTGAGGAAGAAGAAGACATGACATGAGTTTTGGGATGCAGACTGAGGACCTGAGAGAGGACATGTGCTGCCGGGATGCACCAGTGTTCCGCATGCAGGATGCAGGTGGGGGGATGGGGGGGGGGGATGGGGGGGGTTGTTATTGTATTTCTGCCAGCTTTATCCAAACACCTAGTCCTGAGAGAGAGGGGGGGTCACATGCTTCTAGCTTTATCTTGTCCCAGAAAGAAAATGTTCATCTTCCCGCTCCAGAAACAGAATCTTTATGAACACTTCAAGATTATTCAAGGGGGGGCCTTTGTCCCGGGTTAGGATGTTTTACTGCATGTAGCGGGGTTAAAATGGAGGCTCTACATAAATCATACCTGGGTTCTGATGGGCTCCTGGGCTCAGAAAGAGACTCTTTCAGTGACGGTTTGCAGTGGACCAGAACTCTTTAAGAGTTTCTGTTGGTTCAGTATTCAGTCCAAATCCTCTCCTCGGAGTCGACACTGATAAATAATAACACTTTTTTTCTCTGTTCAATTTGACTCTTAATTGAGTATAATTTAGTTTTGTAGTCATTTACAGACTAACACATTTTACTTTCTTTTGTGATGCTGACTGATTAAATTAGTTATTGATTGAATTTTTTTTTTTAAAAGACATGCACATCCCTAAGTGGGTGCAGGATCCAAAAACACAAATAAAGAGATGCAAACAAGATCTGCATGCCAAGAAGCTCCCGTTTGAAGGATTTTATTGATAAATGACGTTTTGACTCAGACTTGTCTGAGGACGAGCATGTTGGCTCGAAATGCCACGTCTTGTTTGCTTCTCTTTAGTCATTGGTAGATCAGCAAAAAGGAAAATCACTCTGTAACTAAAAGAGCCTTTAGAATATATATTAGACTGTGAGGAGGGTCAAATGAAGACCTCCATGATTATAACTTTAGAACTCGGTCTGTGTAACAAGATCCTCCGACAGCTCTAAACTAAAACAAATCTTTTATTGTATGAATTCTTCTTTGGCAACACTTCATTACCCACAATGCATCTTCACCTCAAACAGTTTTGGGATGTTATGTAAGTTATCGGCTGAGCAGCACTTTAAGAGTTCTGGAAAGAGCTCGTCTCATCTTTTGCAGACAAACGTGATTTCTCTTTCTCCAACTCCTACAGCCTCAATTGAAGCTGACTCGAGTGACATCACTTGAGGACATTTAAAGTCTTTATATGTGATTTTTCACACTTAAATATAATATAAATCAAGTATATCCTCAGAAAATAACTCTGTGAGTCATGACTGTCTACAATGGGTGTAACACCCGAGTCCCACTGTCTGTGATGTTTTCAGAGTTTTCAGAGTCCTATCTTCACTTTGTTTACATCGCCAGGACGGCCGGCTGACTCCTCCCCTCGTGTATAAAAGTTGTTTAATTGAGGGACTAGAGAAAAGAAGAATAACATACTGTACTCACTGCTTAACTGTGTTTCTAGATCACGCTCATTTCAGGTAAATTTACATGCAGTGTGAAGATACCAGCATAATAAAGATCGCTAGCATTAGCATGCTAACACAACAATGCAGCGCCAGTTGTTTTGGTTTCATGCTGGTGCTCAAGGGCGACATCTGCTGGATCAAAAAATCACATATAAAGCCTTTAAAGACGACACACAGCTCCTCAAACGTCTCTTTAGCACTTCTTCTGCAAACTCACTTTACTAGTGTGAAGAGACTCCGTCCTGAGCCCAGTGGACCTGCACAGTAATCCATCCATGCTTTATTTAATGCACTTTCTGATGTTATGATTAAATATAATCTGCCTCTTGAGAACTTTTTTCGACCTCACCTGAGGACCCACCCCCCCTTTGGACCCCTCATGGACCCCCCCCTCCCTGTGACTCTTCTCTGCACTTTCAGAGACTCTTTTTGAAAAAAGATGCCTACAGAGGAATGATGGACGTTTCTCTCTCTCTTTCGTTCTGCAGCAGGGCGCTGTCTGTATTCAGGTATTTAGAGGAACTTAAAGCGATACTGTACTGTAGCAGAAGTAGCCTGGTGATCTCCAGTAGCTCGTAGCTGTATGACATGCAGGGCGATCACTCTCTATACTCAGTAGTTGCAGCGGTTTTAACCTTTTTAGAGCAACTTTTTGTCTTGCATTGCCTCACAGAATGAGCATAAATATCCAACGTACCTCTTCTGGACGACACGGTTTGTTCACCTCACCTCCTGTTTTTCATTTAGGCTACGATCCCTCAAATCTACTAGACTGTTTTATTTACGACGTAGCCTTGAGGATTTGTTGTTATGATATGATAAACTATGCATTTATTCCACCAGTGTGTGTCATTATTGTGTCTGCTGGAGAGAAAACCAAAAGCCGTGTGTTGTTGTTGTTGTTGTTGTTGTTGTGACACAACAGCAGGCCGAGCTGACGTCAGCTCACTGCTGCTCTGAATCTTCACATCTGAAACATTTCTGCGTCTATTAAAAAAACAACCCTCTGTGACATTTTTAGACTCCCATTGTCTGTACAAGTTCAACACTGATTCTCTAAATGACTCCGGGACATGTTTCTCCTCAAAGTAGTAGATGTTCCTCCTCTTCGGTGAGACAGCCGCGTCCTGAAATCCGCTGACCTTTTCTCTTTGT